TATACAATAACAAGAATCGTAAAATTCGGAAAATGCACAGGCAACATCGTAAACAAATTCGCATAAATGATGAAGACACAAATCTTTAGTTATTGTAAAAAGTACGTCGGGAAATTTGAGTAACACCTGCGAGGAGGATATTTATAATTATTAAATCACTTTTTAGAAGGTTTTCTATATAAAAAAAAATATGAATAAGTTTAACAGAAAGTTTACTTTTCCCAAATTCCATTCTTTGTCGTGGTCTAAAGATATTTGAGTTGTTTTACTAGCTTCTAAAAGTTGCTGGGAAGTAACACCTGCACTTCTTGCAATGGATTTAATTCTAGTTAATGCGTATAACAAGTAGACAGCAGTATTTCCTCGGTCGTCAAGCATCTGTACAGGTTTTAAAACAATTACCATATTGTATGCATTACGTAAACCTTTAAATGGCTGCAAACGTATACCTTTTCAAAAGAAAAAACATATTCGTGATTTCTATTGTGGGAAAGATCAGCGTATTTGATGCATCCATAAGCAACCGATTCTTGTGCTTTTTTCAATTCTTCAGGTGTTAAAACTTCATCTCGTTTTTTTTCTTTTAATTTTTCCAAAGATCTCTTTAAACCTTCGTCCATAAGATCCACTAATCTTACGGTTTCACCTAAAAAAAAAAAATTGTACAATTCAGAAAAAATTTTTTCATAAAAAATTATCAATTTTTAAAAAACCATTTACCAGATCTCGTTTTAAATTTTTTTTTATCTTCCCCTAAAACAACTCCGAAACCTACAAAATCTATTCTGACTTTTTCGGGATTTAAAATTCCACATTTAATTGCACATTTTTGTAGTACGTCAAAATGAGTTGATTGTCCAGAATCCGTAACGTATATAATCCAGTCGGCTTTTTCTTCTTCTATTCTATACTTTATACAAGCCAAATCGGAAGTATCATAGGTGAAACCTGAAAATACGAGACTATCATATTCTATAATACTTAAAACATTAAAAATAAATTTAATCGAATTGTGGAAATAAATAATTGCCTCCATCTGATTTAACAATAGTAAATGGTATACTTGACGAATCTCCCCACATTATTTTTCTTCCTTCGTCTTCTACTAAAAAATTTTTAGCTTCTAATTCCTTCACTAACTTTTCCATTCTTGTTTGATAAAACGATTCCCCCTTTTCGGTTATTCTGATGTCGAGTCGTTGGTAAATTTTTTGAAATTCTGAATAATTAAATAAAAAAATTAGAAGATGGATTAATAATTAAAAATATTGAATGTAAAAAAAAAAGAAAAAAGTCCACCTTTTCGAGAAACATCACAAATCAAATTCCAAGCTTTTAAATAATCGGGATGATGACTTTGTAATTGCACTACACAATTATAAGCTCTTTTTTTAAATGCTTCATCTTCATCAAATCTCTTTTTAGATTCCTTGTAAAAAGCTTGAAGATCTTGAATTGGAGGTGACTTGGTCAGATAATCAGGAAATTTATCTTCTAAGTGAGCTATTAACATTCCAAATTGGGTACCCCAATCGCCAACATGATTAACTCTAACCACATCATGTCCGAGAAACTCGAGAAGATTTGATATACTATCACCGATGATTGTAGATCTAAAATTATTGTAAGTTATATTTACTATGTTAAATAATTTCTAAGCATGCATTATTAAGGATTAAAAAAATTTTTTGACAAAATACCTCAAGTGACCCACATGCATTTCTTTAGCAATGTTGGGTGAAGAAAAATCAACAATGACTCTGCATTTTGCATTAACTTTAGGAGGCAAAACGCCATTTTTTAAGATAAACTGCAAACAATTCTGACCCTCAGTACGACTTAATGTAACATTAATAAATCCTGCTCCTGCCACTTCTAATTTTTCGATAAGATTGTGAGGAGACACACATGACTTTATTTTTTCAGCAACTTCTCTCGGATTAGATTTTTTACCTTTAAAAAACAAAATTCACTGATTGTTTTGCATTTAATATGATCTTAGTACTAAAAATAACTTTTTTTTTACCTTCTGATTTCAATAACTGTACAATTGGCATAGCAGAGTTGCATTGATAATCTCCAAATTTAGAATTATTCGAAGCAGCAATTACAACTGGAGCATTTTTTAATTCTGGAAAAGCTCTTTGAATTGCTTCTTTAAATATGGAAACTAAAGTATTTTGAATGCTGTAAAATGATCTTTCTTCTTTACAACTAACATCGTTGGGATTAATCCCAGACTTATTTTTCTCTGTACTTGTCATGCTTTCGACAGCCTTTAATAAATAAAATTTTAAATTTACAAGTAATATAAGGAAACATAAATTATTAATTTCATTATAATATTTACATTTTTTAAAATAGTAAGGCGATATTTCAATTTCTTATTTTCATTGAGCAATGCAATAATTTCAGGATCGTCGCAATTTTCTTCATCTATTTCACTAAATGTAATTTTCTTATTTAAATCCATTATTTGATTTATGAGTTTGCAAGTTTCTGCGTTCTAAAAATTTAAAAAGTAAAAATAAAAAAATAATCACATATTTATATTTTATACCCTAAAACTAAAAATGGACATATTTTTAATGACTAATCTTATTTTTTTTTAAATTAACATTTTAATTTTTAAAATCAATCCTATTCTAAATAATGCAAAATGGTTGAACCTAAAACTAATTTTTTAAAATAAAATTTTAGATAAGTAAAAAGCGGAAAATATTAATGAAATCTGTAAAATAATTTTAATTTAAATGAATTTTTTTAAATTGATAACTTGAAACCCACATAAAATATTTGAAATATGAATATAAAAATTGAAAATTTTATCAAATACTTAAAAGTTACATATTTGTAATGATATAATTCTACCTACGGCGGCCTCGAATCTATCCATTTTTTTTTTTTTTTTGCTTTTATAAATTATAATTAAAAAAAAAAAAAAAAACTTCAAGTTGGAAATATTAAAAACGAGTAATCTGGTAAAGGCTATCTTATTTAACCTGATGTAATAGTTAAAGTATTTTATTAAATTCGTTACACGTTTGTGTTGGAGTTAAGTTGTCAGCCCTGAATTTTTAAGTTACAGTTGATCGCAAAAACGCGCAAGGATGTAAAATTAATGCTTACTTAAAAAATTTATTATTACATAATAATTTAGAAATTTGTCTGTGTGCTATTATTTAATTTTAATTTTAGTTATATTAATATTCTAGTTTTAAAAAAATCTTTCGGTTTTCTTTTGAAATAACAAAATAAAATCTGTATTAAGATTCTTTTTTTTTTCCCATAGTAATCTGTTTTGTATTAAACTTAAATTTATCTTTTGTGCATTCTGTGAAATTTTATGCATTATAATAACGTTTTTCGTCTCATATTCATTGATGATTTCAACTTGGAAAATGGAAAATGCTAAAACCACATGCACATTACACTTTTTGAAAGAGAGAAAAGTGATTGAAAAACATAAGAAGTAAGGTAATATAGACAGATAATAAGGTATGTAAGATTGAATTACATGTTACTTTTGTCTGTTGAATTGATATTCAACTTTTGTAAAAGCATTTTTAAAAAATTTTTACTAATAGAAAAAAGTAATAAATTTTTTTTTTTATTGAAAAATATTATAAAAATCTTTGCATTCGTTCGAGAAAATTCGTTAGAGTTGTAAAATAAAAACTAGACTTTTTTTGTTTTTGATTTTCATGTTACATTAGTAGTATTGAACCAAAAGTTTCAAAAGGCATAAATTTTATAAAAAATAATAATTTACTCTTATTATCAATAAATTTAAATGCGAATAATGAATAATGTAAGATAAACAATAATACTAAATCAAAATAAGGTAATTAAAAGAGCATAAATTAAAACTTTTCTAATATATGTGCAAATTAAACAAGTCAAACCATTTTAAAATTCTAATGGTAAATTTTATTGGGGGAAAACTTTGGCAATAAACGACAGTCAAATATCGTCAACAAGTGGGCGAAACCTAAAACCTGAGAAAAATAAAATAATGTAAAAATAAGATGTATTTATTGTTAAGTAAATAACGACCTGCCCAAAGATAGGTAAAATTGTGATGAAAGACAGGTAGTGTACTAAACATGGTGATAATGGTGCAACCATTTTTTAAAAATATTATGGATAGGTTTGATTGATGGTAAAATACATAAAATAGTATTAACGACAGCATAAATAAAAATTAAAACGGTTAAAATTTTTTAAAATCGTATAAGTCGTTAAGTTGTAAATTAACATTACAACTTGTTTGATTGAATTGGAACATGCGCCTTTTTTAAAATGAAAATTATATAAAACCTCGTGGAAAATATAGAAAATATTTAGTTCCAGTTTAGAGTTTGAAAAAGAAGTGAAATTTTTATTCTCGTGTAATTTAATTTTACGACAGTATGTTATTTATTTATTTATTTATTTTTATATTATGTTGAGTAAAAAAAAAAAAAACTTTTAAGCCATGAGTTTATGAATTTCAATCATGTAATGACGATTTTACACATAATGTTTTGCAAAAAATAAGGTATGGTGGCAATCTTTTTTTTTTTTTTGTACGTTTATCCACTTCTCCCCCACCCCTAACGTTCCACATTTTATGGTATATTAAATTTTTTGTGGGTGTTGTATTGGTTATCATAATAATATAATAAAATTTCACGGTTCGTTTGAATGATAATGTTAAGTGCTTATCATTTATGCTTTTATTTAAGTAAAGAAATGTTTTTCTTTCCAGCAGATTGTAAGTTTTGATGCTTTTTTTACTTAAAAATATCATTTATTAAAATTTAGTAGCTTGTTATAAACAATTGTAGAGATTCATTAAATGAATTGATACTATTTAAATAATCTCATCTTCTCATTTTTTAATTTAATAATATATATAAAAAATCAAGTAGAAATTTGATATTTAATTATTAACATTAAGTTTTCAATTAATTAAATAAAAAAACTAAATTTTTAAAAGATAATAATATTTATTAATAATATAATAATTAAATTATTTGCAAATTTTTATTATGCTTTTATTCGTGGGTTATTTAAAAAAAAAATTTTTTTGTCGTTGTAATTTTTCGTTCTTAAATAATAATAGTATTTTATCGAATACCAAATAAAGGTATGCCATTAAATGCCTATAAAAGGGAAAAGCGTTGAAAACAAAAAGAAAATATTTGAAATTTTTTCCTTTTTAAAAAGGAAAATTACTGATATGAAAGAAAATTCATAAATTTTTTTTGTGCTTTCTTATTGAAAAAATTTTTTCCCTTTTATATATAAAAAAAAAAAAAAATATTTTTTTCATTTGTGAACGTGTTCGTGTTATTCGTTACGACATTTTTTTTTTTAAAGATAGTAAATAATTAAAATTGAATTAAATAATAATAATATTAAAAAAAATATTATAACTCGTATTTAAATTTAAATTTTTTGTTCTTTACGAATAATAATAATAACGTTTTAATATTAATAAACCGAACCTAAAAAAAAAAAAAAATTATAACCTTAAATATCAAAGTATAATTATAATTAAATACAACAAGACAGAACATTAATACCACCCCCCCAAAAAAAATTACACATAAATAAATAAGAAAAGCTAAAAAAAAAACGATTCCAAAGAAAGTAATTTTAGTTTAAAGAAAAAAAAAAGGAAAAGGGAAGAAAAGAAAATTTAATCAAAGGAATATCATAGCAGGAGGGATGTAAAAATTAAGAACAAAAAAAAAAAAAAAATTAAAATTGCCAACTCAGAGAAACATTCAAAAACTCATTTAGTTGTTAAAACGTTTGCGATAAAACATTTTTGCTGGATAATAATGATAATGAAAAAAAAAAATAATAATAATAATAGTAAACGTCTGATGTTAATTTGAGTTTTTTTTTTTTTTTAATATAACAATCTTATTAAAAAAAAAAAAAACAACAACAAAATTAAGAGAAAAAAATATAATGAAAATTTTATTAAAGGGTTTAAATTAAATAATTTTACAATCAATTTATTTATTTAGTTTTTTTTTTTTTTAATAATATTATTGATTGTTATAAAAAATTTTATTAATTTGCCATTGTTCAGCCATTTTTATTTATTACATAAACTTTATTTGGAAAATTTTCAATTGTTAATTGTGATAGTAAAAAAAAGGTTTAAAAGAAACCTTGAACTTGAAATTATTTGACAGTTGAAAAATTACGGTTGTAAAAATAAAGCCCCCTCCCCTCTCTCTCTTTCAAAAAAAAAATTGTATCCCTGAAATATTTGTAATTGATTTATTATTATTATTTTTATTTTTTTAATCGATAAAATAAAATTATTAAATTTTTTTTATTGTTTACCCAAGAGAGGGGGTGAGTTTGAGGCAACAACAAAATATTATTTATTAGAGTGATAATAATAATAACAATTGTTTATGTTTTATTTTACCATAAAAAAAAAAAAAAAAGTTTTAAAAAATGGAATCTGTCATTCATATATACATATATAAATTTTTACACCGTGTGAGTAAATATATTATCAAGTCATAAAATAAAAATAAAAATAAAAAAATTAAATTAAACTTTTTAAAATCAACTTTGTTCAAAACTCAAACAGAAACAATTTTCTTTTTTCTTTTTCGTAAACAAAATTGAATTTTCCTTTATTATTATTATTAAATTTTTCCAGAACGAATTCATATTGGTCAAATAATTTTTATGATACTTTTTATTATATTTTATTTTTACTGGACTTATTTTGAAAATTTAATTTCTTTTTTTTTCGTTACACCACGTGATTATGTGTTGTAAAAATTTTTTATTTTTATTATTGTTTTTTAATGTTATTTTTAAAAATGAAAAAAAAAAATTATTATAAAATATAATTATCGTCACGTTTCACGATAATAAAAAAGAAAAAATTTTTTTTTTCTAGAAAGTAGGAAATGACTATAACAAAAAAAAAAAGAAAAGCGGAAAATTCGCAAAAAATACAATTTTGTTAATAATGTGACTCCTTGGGGTCACTCGTATTGAAAACGACTAACTCATTCATTCATTCATTTTTTTTTGTATTTTAAATGATTTATTATTGAAAAAAAAATGGCGTTTTAACAATACATCTTATTTTTTTTAAACTTATAAATAACATCAAAAGCGTATATATATATACATAGCAATTCTTCTACTGATTGATTCATAGTTAATGATCGTTTCTGTCTCGAATTTACGATATAAAATGGAATAAAGAGTGTTTTCATATGATTTACTTCATCAGAATTCGAGCTATAAATTATTACACGAATATTAAAACGTAAATAGGTTTATGACAACACTTGTTGATAAATACAAACAAAACTCCATCAATAAATCTGACACCAAGGGTAACTTTGGATCCTTTGCTAATTTCTATGATTATATCCACGCTTATTAATTGTGAGAAATATAATGATAAGGTTTTAAACGTGAGAAAAAATAAGTAATTGACACCAAAGCCAAAATAAACAAAAAAAAAAATAAAATTTAGATAATGGTCCAAAACATTGTTGATAAAACAAATAAAATATATATTTTGCCATGTTTTTTTTTTTAAATAAATGAATCGTTGATATTGCAATGTTGTTTCATTCATAATTACATTTTGAATGAATTTAAAATCAGTTCTTTTTTCAGGCGATTGTTAAAAACTAAATAAACACGATCGTAAATAATCGATCAATGAAATAAAATGAAAAAAAAATTGTCGCAAAGGTCATTCGGGTTAAATATTTTATCAATTCAAAAAAATAACCATAAAATTTTTTTTTTAAATTAATGATAATAATAGCGTAAATGAAATAAATTATTTTATTTTTTCAGTTGTGTTTTGAAACGTCGGACTCGCGAGAAATATGGAAGGAGGAAATCAGGTGGCGGGTATACAAGAGCCAAATGAAAATAGAAAAGAAGAAGAAGAAGAATCCGCGAGGGAACCACCTCAGGTGAGTGATCATACGAGCGAATCACTCGTTGACCCTCCGAGAGAACCTGAAATGACAAGATTTAAAAGATTATTGTATCGGGGAATGAACGGTCGGGCAGTTTACGTTTGTTTGCTTCTTTTGTTCGTGACGGAATTAGTGCTTTCTTATTTTTTATACGAATACATATCGACGGTAGAAAAAATGTGTTTGGCCATGGATTTCGAAGTGTTGCCTACGAAATCGGTGAGGAAAAAACGAAATCCTATTCTATTGGAAGATAACGCGGTTACGTCGTCGGATGATGCCGTTGTCGAGTTTTTTAATCCAAAGTTAAAACAAGAATTGAGCGAAAAAGGTGGTAGTAAACACGGTAGTGGTGGTGGTGGTGGTAATAGTGGTAATAGTGGTGGTAAATATAAAAGTAGTGGTTTTAACAAAGGTAGTATTGATTACGATAGTGAAAGTGGTCCTACTCCAGCTTCGGAAAATGCGGCAAATGATCCTTACGTTTGGCTTACATCTTACTCCAGAATTCCGGTGAGTTAGTATTCTTTATTTATTTAAATTAAAATTTAAAAAAAAAAAAAAAAAGGTTTAAAAATTTCTTTCGAAAGGATTAATTAATATTCTAAATGAGTGTGACGAGAAAATTAAGTAGTATTTAATTAATTTCATATTTCAAAAAGTATATTAAATTTTTTTTTTTTTGTTTAAAAACCGTTTTCTGCTACAGTTTGAACGTTGCGTCTTTTGCATTCGTAATAGTATATCTTTTCAAAATGATATTATTATCATATAAAAACGCATTAACAAATTTATTGACAATATTAAAATTTAAATGTCAATAAATTTGTAGCGTTTAACTCGTTAAAGAGTATATATCTATTTTTTTTTTAAAGAAAAAAAAAAGGATATTGCATTTGAAAATTTATAGTTTTATAATGTATATATATAAAAAAAAAAATTTGCAAATTTAAAATCGATATTTCTACCAACGATAATAATATCATTTTTTTTTCTATTAAAAATTTTTCACGTGATTAAAGTCTTTAACAATAACGTACACAAAAATAATAATAATAATATTTTAAGGTTACTTTTTATGCAAGACAACTTATGCAATTGTCAATTATTATTATTATTTACTTACAACTCGAGAGAACTTTTTAACAAAATGAAATTTTCGTTCAACGACGATTGCAACGACAATACTTTTTTTAATAAGATTGTGTTAAAGTGTTAATTTTATTTCATGCCATAACTTTTACTACTACTCAAACCTCATTAGGTTAACAATGTTATAATATCAGAACAGAATTTAAACTTTACTTATTATTACTCAAGAATTTACTACAACTTTATTTTAACCTGTCTTGAAAAACAATAACGCGTTGTTTAATTAAAATTTTATTGTTTTATTTTTATTTCTTGGGTGGTTTAAACAAATATTAACACGTATTGTTTAATTTAAATATTTTTAATTTTTTAATCCGCGTCAAAATCATTATTATTATTATTATTATTATTATTATTAATATTTTCACTTTTGAAAACGATAATCTTTTAAATACTTGCTGGAGTTTTTAAACGTTCGTTCCAGGTTTATACCTGAATCTTTAGAAATAAATACTCGAATATCGTAAAATTTTCCGAAGAATGTGGTGGGTTATTATTTTACATGATGTCCATTTCCGGTACGATTTCTTCTTTTAAATTCTTTAAAATTTTCTTCGAATTTCTGTTTTGTAGAATGAGGCATGGTTTTTCCAGTTTTCCGACGATGACCGGAATAGTTTCTGTACTTGTTACTCCCCACATCCTGACTATTTCTATTTCCAAATTTCTATATTTCAACCTTTTGTCCGTTTATTTGGCTGTCTGATTTTTTTTTCCGCCGGCACGGTTACTTCAGTTAATTTTCATTCCATTTTTCGAAATTGTGGCTGGGAATAATATCCGGTTTGTTAGTTGGCATAGTTCTATCAGTGTGATTGAATTGATAATACAGAGTCGTGTATGCCCCTGCTATCGTAATCAAGTCTAAAATGTGGTTAATTAAATAATCTTACTATTCCATGTTTGCGACAGACATTACAATTATTATTATCATTATTATTAATTTTTAAAATCGTTAAAACAAATAAATAAATAATTAAATGCTTTGAATTATTATTATTAAAAATTGAGGTATTGTTTTTTTTTTCTTCTGCAGAACGAATATAGTAAACAATAATATAAAATAATAATAATAATTAAATTTTATCAAGTGAAAATAAAATAATATATAAAAAAAAAAACAAAAGAGGGGGGTTCATGCCAAAGTTGAAAAAATATTCAAAGCACAAAACATATTATTATTATTAATATCATGATAAAAACCATGAGGGAAAAAAAATTTTTATTGAAAATTATTATTATTATTATTATTATTATTATTATATAATATTAATAAAGCTTACAGTCGGTAAATTTTTTCATAAAATAACAATAAAGGTAAATAAAAAAAAAATTTTATGCCACGGTTGCTACTGGTTTTATTATATAACTAAAAAACTACATAATCAAAATTTTCGGAAAAAACTAATTTTTTTTTTTTTTGTTTTTAATTAAAAAATATTGAATGTATCATCATTATCGTTTACAAAATATTTTATTACGTCACCGTAAATTATTATTATTATTAATTTCTATTTTCTTTAAAACCCAATTAAATTTAAAAAAAAAAAACGATGGAAAATTTTTTTTTTTTTTTACCGGAATCTTATAATTTATTATTTAAAATGGTTAAAAGTCAAATTTGGGTAGAATAAAGTTTCTGTTGCAGAAAGGTCGTAGATTGACAATGATTTATATTTGTTTTAAATAGGCAATTTACTGCTTCTAAGATTTTTTACGTTTTAACGGTGATTTCAAAATAAGTTCCACAATGTTGAATCGGAAAATTTTAATTCAAGAAATATATATATATATATATATTTTTCAGTCCAATTCCAAAAATTTCAAATTGCATTTATTTAGTTTTTACCGCCTAAAACGAGTCGCACAAAACCCACACGCACACGCACGCACGCACACACGCACGCATTTTCTCTTCTATAATTATTATTCGAACCGTCAAATTAATTTATCAATCGCCATTTGTTAAAAATCATTTCAATCCTTTTTCAATTAAGTTTTAATTTTAATTTAAATGCGTAAAATTAAAAGGCGAAACGGTAAATAATAATAATAATAATAGTGATAGCGCAATTTCTGATTTGAAAATATAAATAAATATTTTTAAAAAATTAATGGAATTTAAAGGAATTTCAATCGAGCGGTTTTAATTTAAAAATGGCGACGAATAAATAAATAATTTAAAAATTTTTTATTTATTTATTTTTTTCGATTAAATTTTAATATTTCCCCCCCCCCCAAAAAAAAAAAAATTTTTAATTAAAAATTTATGATAAAAATTAATTTTTATTTATTTCCGGTTTATTTATTATTATTATTTCCGGTTGATATTATCTGCATACAAAACGTTGCGTAATTATATACACGTATATGTATTTTAAAAAATTAACAACAACGACAAAAAACTTTTATTTGTTATAAAAAAAAAAAAAAAAAAAGAAATGCTTACGAAGATTTTAAATGCGACTCTCCCCCCCAGCTTTCCCCTCCCCCCGCTTTTTTTTTACAAAAAAAAAAATTTAATTAAATTAAAAAGGTTTTTGTTACCTTAAAAGCCATTTTGTTTTACTAAAAACAATAAATATAATTAATTAGTCATTTATTTTACAAAACAATAGTATAATATATTATTATTATTATTTTTAAGGAAAGAAATTTTTTTAACGGTGACACATGTTTAAACAAAACATAAACAAAAACAAAATGTGTCAGTTATGATATAATAATAATAATAATAAAAAAACAAAACAACAACAAACGTTTGTCAAAAGTAAATAATGAAAAATCGTGCGTTAAATCCTGGGGTTAAATTTAAGAAACTTTAATTTTTTTTTAATTATTAAATTTACGTTATGTTTGTTTATGTTTCATTCATAAATACGGTCGTTATGTTTTTGACAATATGGCCACACTTGCATAAGAAAACTTGTGTTTAGTAATTAGTGTTAGTGTTTTAGATAATCGAAAAGTATTATTTGTAAGGTTTAAGGTCCGTAAAAAGGTTTTCACTTTATTCTATTGCACTTTATTTATTGTAAATTAAAAACGGTTTATTTTATTTCGAAAAATTATTATTATTATTACTTTTTTTTTTTTGTGAAAGTCATTCCACCGCGGCATTTACGCACATCGAAATAAATAATACATTTTACGGCACGTATATCGGATTAGATGGTGGAAAAATTTTGGTTTTTCATATCATGAAAAATGCATGCACGAAAAAAAAAAAAAGGAAAAAAGGTTGCAAAAAAAGGAAAAAAGGAGAAATATAAGTTATAAAAAACTTGCGTCGGGTTTGCACAAACCTTTTTGTAAAAATACAATAATAACACTACGACTAATTTTATTATTAAAATTCTTAATTATGATTTTCACCCCTAACAACCTTTCACAAACATACTACGAACATACTGAACATTTTGAAAAATTTTAATTGCGCGAAGGGCGGAGGGAAGAAGGAGAGGAAAGGGGAGGGGAAAAAGGAAAAAAAAAGTTTTCCGACGAGTATTCTCTCAATGGTATTTAATTCATTTAAATACGTTACATTTTATTGTGAGTAATTATTTAAAAACGTGTCTCACCGTTAAAAATAATTTAATTTTTATAACCGCGAGTGAATGAATGAAATAATTTTATATATATTTTTATTTTTTTCATTTCGGTAAAAATTATTAAAAAAAGGAAAAAAGGAAAAAAATTTTAAAATTGAAATTTATTGATGTATCACCTGTACGGGAATAATAATAATTTTATTAAATAAAAACTTAATATGTTTTATACATAATGTTTTCATGACACGTTATGTTGTTTGAAAAAATGAGAAGAGTTAATTTTGGTACAGATGCTGGATTTTTTTTTTACTTTAGTGGGGTAAACGTATAAAAACTGGTCAAATGAGGTCTAGAAAAAAACTAAGAGATGAGATGATTTAAAACAAAAATTTTTCTTTTACTAAATCACGTTTGAATAAAACAAAAAAATATATGGCGACATGTAAAAAACTGGTTACACGTGAATAAACTTATTTTTTC